CATACATAAAAACAATAAAATCATTAGAACACATATGCCAAAGAACTGAGACATTATATTAAGCACACATTTAAAATATCCATGTTAATAAAATTCCATTTTAAATTCAAAGTCTAACATCCACTGGGTAGGCCTGCCAGAAGAGATAGGACTATAACTCTGTTTAACATTCTCACAATTCATTTAGTTGTTGCAGCTCTTCTGGCAGGTCATTCCACAGTCTAGGGGCGACAGAAGCAAAGGTCCTCTGGAAGACAGTTGCCAGTCTAATTCTGGCTGGTTGAAGTAAACATCCCTAGGGGACCTGAGTATATGGGGCAGATGGTACAGGAGAATGCCACCCTCCAGGTAATCTGGACCCTTTAAAAGTCTAAACCAATACTTTGTATTTTGCTCAGAGACTAATTGGCATCCAGTGGGATAGGTTTAATATAGGTGTGACATGTTCACTCCTAGATGTACCCATAACCAATAGGGCTACCATATTTTGAACTAGCTGGAGTTTCCAAACTTGGTACAAAGGTAGACCAATGTACAATGTATTGTAGAAATCCAACTTTGAGGTTATTGGCACGTGCACTACTCTTTCCATCTTCCAAGTATAGAAATTCTCCATAGAACATCAAATGGATAGCTATTCCAACTCAGCAATACAGATATGGCAATGTCTGGTGTTTCCATTTCAGCTGGGCAATGGCAGCCAAATGGAGGACAGGCTGGGGGTCGTAATGGAGCTCACTAGGATATTGGGTATCTGCTTCTTCAGTTTCCCAATGTACTTATGATGGCATAACTTGAGTTTCCACCAACATAAGTCACCAACAAGATACTGGCTGAGGTGTATACTGTGCAGTTCTACATTTGCCTCGTTCTTGGAAGTTTTTGAGAGAAACAGACAGTGACACCTTCAGCTGGTTGCTTTTAGATTTGTTCTCATTATCTCTTTTGTTTTGCTTTGTTTGTTCCACGATAAAATCTATTAAGGGGGAAAAGACAGAATAGTTGCATAGTGCCTTTTCACTGTGATTAAGAAAGTCATCTGCATGAAAGCACACTTTGACTAAATTGTCTTGAAGTGGCAACTCCGTATCATTTGTTTTCTCTTATCTTTAGATGAGAACATTTTATTGAAGAGTGTTAAATCTTCCAAGGCAACCAATCAAGATAGTCACAAATATTACATGACTAATGGGGAATGGAAGTTTGAAGAGTTGAGGACCATTCATCGTTATATATCTTATGGTTCACTGAACTGCAGTGCGGTCATTTATGAGGTCTGTGTGTGCATATGCAATTATTAAGCTGCCTGTTGACTTATGGCAGCCCCAGGAGTGTCATCGGGGTTCTTAGGAAAGGACCAGCGATAAATAGATTCATAGTTTAAATACAGTAAATAAAGAAAACCAGAAGTGCAGATAAAGTCAAATATAATGGCCATGGAAGAGCTACAGGCATTTAAAACTGAGGACCAAGATACAAAATAATTTATAGATTCTCTGTATCTTCTTTCAGTTGTCAATCAATGCAGATTGATGACTGCATAGAAACCATTCTGCTCTGATAGTGGCCCCTTTTTTTAGAAAATAGCTTGTACATCAGAGCATGTAGATATTAAAGTAATCCCATTTCTTTTAGAATGATCCACATTGTCTGTGAATAACTATTTGAATGGTTCATCTATCTCCATCAAAGTTTTTATTTCACAACATCCCTGGTTTGTTCCATAGTTCTTCTGGTTCATGATCGATAATAGTAGTGCAAATCTGTTTTTAATTAATATAGATTTTTCAGGGGCATTCCTAACATTGTATTGGAATACTATGATTGACAGAGTCCGATTCATGACAAAAGTCAGATAGAAATCAAATAAACCAATAAATTGAATTAATGTTCTTTAGCTTTGCTCTAATTTTTGGTATTAACAGTTCCTGGTCTGTGCCACCATCTGCTCATGGTCTTTTTTGGGGGGCAGAGGTTTTTTTGTGTTGCTTCTCCTACATTTGATATTTTATTTCTCTATTGAAATCTAGTGGCATCCACTTCTTATATAGTCATTGGGTTACTTGAAGAATGAAACAGAATCAAAGAATTGGAAGAGACCACAAGAGCCACCCAGTCCAATCCCCTGTCATGTAGGAAAACACAATCAGTGCACCCTCAAATACAATTCTAGATATTAGGCCAAATCCTCCAGCAACTTTGCTGTTTTCTACTTTTGCATTTTGATCATTTTCTATTATGAAGATCTTCCATTTGGATGTATGATCAATTCTTCCTGGATATCTACATATAACCTCTCCATTTCTCTTCTTCTGCCTGATCTTAAATTTCCTTTTCTCACTTCTTCTTGAGAGAATGAAAGTTAATGTCTGTTTGCACTATGATGACTAGAAGAGACAAAAATAATTTTATTCGATGATTTCTTCTTTTTATTGTTTTTTTCCTACTCCCCCAAAACTGGCAAATTCAAAGACGTTCTTTACAATTCAATGTCCCTTATGCTTTAGAACCTTGAAGCTCTGTTTGTAACAAAAACATAACAATAAAAATGTAATTAAAATTATAATTATTGTTCGAATAAACTTTTAAAAAATATAACAACCCCACTGATTTTAAGCTAAATACTACACATTTGACATTTGTCAAAAGATCTTCATACTGGAAAATACAAGTAAAAATAGTTTTCGATTTCTCCAATATTGTGTTTCCTACTGACCCCCCCCCCCCCCCCCCCACACACACACACACACACGCGTGCATGACCCCCCCCCCTCCAACTTTCAAATTTCCAGACATTTTGCATATTCATTCAGGTGGCAAAACTACTTAGGTAAGTTTTGCTGCCCACACCATGCCCCGGAATGTGGTGGAGACTCCTCCTTTGGGGCTTTTAAGCAGAGGCTGGATGGCCATCTGTCAGGGGTGCTTTGAATGCAATTTTCCTGCTTCTTGGCAGGGCGTTGGACTGGATGGCCCATGAGATCTATTCCAACTCTCAGATTCTATGATTCTATTAAAAATGTTAATTTCCCCTTACAACTTGAATCTGTGTTGCTTGTTTGTAACTTGGCAGGTTTTCTGTGCCTTATAGAGATATATATCCTCATGAGAATAACATTTTAAAAAGTTAAAAGTTATCATTTGGACTAACATAAGGATGCAGTAATAAGAAAATTCTGGATTGTTTGCAAGTTTAGTTTTCATTTTAATTGTCACCCAAGCGATTAAAAGGAAAGGAATCACACAGCCACTCCATTTCTAAGGCTGCTCCAGCACACTTTGGATCTCACCTTAGAGCTTGCTAGAAATTCCACTTTTTTCCAAAATATAAATCACTGTAACGAGAATATTAAATATTTAGGCAGGATACATTAAATTAAATATTCAGGTTGTCTCGCCCATCCTTAAATTGCTAAGAATTAGACCTAAGCTTCTGCTGTTATTAATAGTATTTGTATTGAAAATGTTCTACATTGAAATATGTTATTTTTATATTTTTCTTCTTCTCTTTTTGGACAGATAACTATGTCAAGGCGATCCATTTTCTATGTATTAGTGCTGATCGTTCCAATGTTTACTCTCTTTTTACTGGACATAGTCATTTCTTATGCTTTTTCCAGTCCTGGAGAAAAGGTTGCTTTCAAAATGTCCTTGATCCTAGAAGTTACATTTTTGTCATTGATACTTACTGATATGCTACCAGCAACATCAGATGATCCACCAACAATAGGTAACTGCCTTTACTGGGAGAATTGACTAGCACTGACAGTCTGAACATTTAAGGGCTATCAAATACCTTGGACTGATTTTCATGAGACCCATATGCCCCATGGTTAAATGAATAAATAATGCTTTGCTGGAAACTTGCTCATTCGTACCTATTAAGATGCACAAAAAGAGTGCCATAATTATCTCTTAGCATTTAAATGGAACTTTGCACCACACTTACGGACGTATAAATCACTTCACATACGTTATCTTGAGGTCCTTAGCACAACCCGTCAAGGGAGGCCAGTTGTATTTCCCATTCTTAGTACTGGACTGTATGAACTAGTATAGCTTATTCATTTCAAATAACTAGCAAGTTGTAATCAACCCTCCCTTCGTTCTCTACCTTCTTCCCAGGGATATAGATATACTAACAACAATCATTCCTTCTCCTTCTTTTTCCTCCTCCTCTTTTTCTTTTTCCTCCTCTTCTTTTTCTTACAGTAACATTAAAGCAAACCTGTGTTATATCATGGATTCCACACCTGACCACAAAAGAAAGAAACACTGCAGGGGAGAATGGCTAATGAGGGGTGTTGGTTCATTGTCAGTAGTTAAAGATCTTGATTTAAGGAGAAAATACCCCAACTGTTTGGGCCTCCAACTCCCAGAAGCCCTAATGAGCTTGTACAATTCTCAGGAATTCTGGGAGTTGAAGGCCCAAATAGCTGGAGGGCCGCAGTTTGAGGATGCCTGGTTTGGAGAAAGACACTACAGACTTAGTTCACAGTCTTCCGGCTCCTTTTCCATGTGCTTGGGAAATGGAGCCCCACAGGAGTCTCCCGGAGACCATCAGATGATATAAGGGCACTTCCGATGGGACTCTGTGGGACTCCGTTTTCCTTGTACATGGAAAGGGAGCCCAAAGACCTCTAGTCAGATGTCAATTGAATCCGATAGAGAAAGACGGGGTAAAGTGGGGAGAAGACAAAGAAAGGCACAATATGCAAGTGGGATGGCTGGTCACCCCTGAAGACAGGGAAAGGTGGAAGGGAACAGATTAAGACGGTTCCCTCTGCTTTCCCCCACTTTTCTCGTTTCCTCCCACTTCATCTGATGAGGTCCTAAGTAGATGCTCATGAGCTACGAATTCCAGGGGAGAACATGATCATCATCCTGAAAATTTTCTAAATGACAAGCCACCTTATCTCCACAAAGGTTTTTGCCTCTTCACATTGTTACTCATGATATATCTGTTCATTTTCACCACTTCTGTTTCTTCCTTAATATAGCAAAGTTTTTCACCGGCATGTTCATGCTTCTGGTCTTCGGCACTTTAGAGAATGCCTTTGAGGTGTATTTTGGTGAGAAGAAGCTAAAGCTCCCATCCTTGGTAGCACGTGTAAATAAATTTAAAAGAAATGAGAAAAGGAATCTGAGGACACTGTTACCTACTTGGGTAAGCATTAATCAACAGGTAAATAAAAATTACAGAAAAATGCAAATTCCGAGCAGTTGAGAAATACGAATGAGTGCTCTTCACTCAATGTTTAAAACTTTTCCTCTTAGACAAAATGGGAAAGTATCCCCTTTTCAGACTAAAAGAGCTGTACATTAAGATGAATCCACACCGTAGAATTACAGCAGTTTTATACTGGAATAATTGGCATGGCTCCTTCCCATGGAAACCTGTGATTTTGGTCTGTCTTCTCCTGTATTACGGCACTGCACATCTCTAGCAGAGAACTCTAACTCTCACATCAATTTCAGTCAGACAATCATTTGTTGTATTGGACTAAAAGCCATTACAAATCTTATGTTGTTGTTCATTCGTTCAGTCGTCTCCGACTCTTCGTGACCTCATGGACCAGCCCACGCCAGAGCTCCCTGTCGGCCGTCACCACCCCCAGCTCCTTCAAGGTCAGTCCAGTCACTACAAGGATGCCATCCATCCATCTTGCCCTTGGTCGGCCCCTCTTCCTTTTGCCTTCCACTTTCCCCAGCATAATTGTCTTCTCTAGGCTTTGCTGTCTCCTCATGATGTGGCCAAAGTACTTCAACTTTGTCTCTAGTATCCTTCCCTCCAATGAGCAGTCGGGCTTTATTTCCTGGAGGATGGACTGGTTGGATCTTCTCGCAGTCCAAGGCACTCTCAGAACTTTCCTCCAACACCACAGCTCAAAAGCATCGATCTTCCTTCGCTCAGCCTTCCCTAAGGTCCAGCTCTCACATCCGTAGGTGACTACAGGGAATACCATGGCTTTGACTAGGCGGATCTTTGTTGCCAGTGATGTCTCTACTCTTTACTATTTTATCGAGACTGGACATTGCTCTCCTTCCAAGAAGTAAGCGTCTTCTGATTTCTTGGCCACAGTCTGCATCTTCAGTAATCTTTGCACCTAGAAATACAAAGTCTGTCACGGCCTCCACATTTTCTCCCTCTTATAAAATCTTATAAAAACCAATAAAAATCAATAAAGAATACGATACATACATACACATACATTCACATTCATGCACCAAAAAAATTTAAGATAATGAACACAATGTATAGCAATATCTTTCAAATAAATACCACAAATACTTTTAACAGCTTTCATGAATAAAGAGGTTTTATGTGTAATTTATTTGTCGCAGTCTGATAGTAGCAAGCATACTTTCGTGTAATGTCTCGAACCCTATAATGAGGAGGCCAAAATTTGTCCAAGAATCACTTCCCGGGTTTTTTAATAAAGCTGGCAATAGCATAAATGTCACCAGAAATGCGTCACCAGAAATATAATATGCAGATTTGATAAATGTGGATTTAATATGTGTGGGTATGAATGGAACTGAATGGGAGGTATATGGATGGAGTTAATAATTTTGGAGACACCATTCTAAAATATTAAAGCCTGTAATGACTGACTACCTGCTTGCTGGACTATAATTAAAAGTTGCTAAGGAGAACTGAAATGGTTGACTTGCCATAGTAAACTGATAAGAACTGTGACAGTGATAAGATAAATGTTTACAATGTTAAGAATGAAGTCAACACAATGCTAACATCAATCAAGAAGAATCAACATCTGTCCAGGATGGAAGACATCTATCATTAATTTACAACTTTGGGACTCCGTCAGCAGAATATTCCTAGATAAAAGACTCAATCTAATAATTTTCAAAATGTGACAGACAGCAAGCTATTCACCCGCTATGCTTAGTCCATAGGATAGAGATAGTGAGTGTACCTATGGAGAGTGCCAGGTCTGCTATGGGAAAGCAGGATTCTGTACACTTTGGGGCTTCTTTCTCAAGGGAAGAGGAAGGAGTGCATATTGGAGTCATGATACATTTGCAGGGAGTCATGTTCTGCTGTATGGAAAACAGAGATCCAGTCCTTGCCATTGTGCTTAGGGAAATAAGTTTTGGCATTTTGGAATTTTGGCATTATGGAAATTTTGGAAGTTTTGTAAAAGGTCTGATATACCCTCTCATACTGGAATTTGCAATAAAAATATTGCAATTTTAGCAGGCTGGAGGGAAAATAGGGTCTGGCCTAAACAATATTCTTCTCCAGTAGATGACAGAGGAAGAATGGTGATGTATGCATGAGGGTGAATGCGCGTTTATATGTGTGTGAATGCTGAATGAAAATGTAAACCTCTTTTGTTTGTTATTTAGCCAATATAACTGTAAGTTGTTTGTGAACCCAATGTAGTTACATAGAATCTGTATGCCTAGACGTCCAATATCGTTCCTTGTGTAAAAATGTAAAAGTTTTGTAAAAGGTCTGATATACCCTCTCATACTGGAAATTGCAGTAAAAATATGCATGCTTTAAAGTCATTGAAAAGTTATTAATGACATAAAGACAAGAATGTATCTTTTGCCCCACCCACATCACTAATACAGAGCCTTAAATTGCTCAGAATATTTCTATATCTGTCCTGTATAACAATGCTACACGTTCTTAGACAAGAAGTCTTGCACCAGTCTTGAGCTGAGACATTTTAGTTTTTAATTCTCAGGTGTCAGGGATGGGCAGATATAGTTTGGTATCCTATTGGTTACCCCCACCTAGAGTAAATCCATTCAATCAATTATTAATCTGTGAGTCAACACATCAGTACATTCCATGCACCTAGAGTAAATCCATTCAATCAATTATTAATCTGTGAGTCAACACATCAGTACATTCCATGTATTGAATAGGTCTACTATTTTAAGAACTCTCAACAGGATAGGCCATCATTTCCTGTCACATTTTCAAAGCTTCTCCTCCTTTTCTTCCGCACAGGATCTGAAGTCCCTAAAGGGAATGATCAGGGCACTCCGTTTCCCTTGGCAGAAAGCAGCACTCTCGCAGACAGCCTGGCATTTCTGAAACATCTGGATGGGGAGCTGCAACAGAACAAGAAACGCTTGGCTCTAGATAAGGGCCAGGATGTCACTGAACACCATGAGATCTTGCTTCCTGTGGCAAAGGGGTTGTATTATATCCGCCTGATTTTGTCACTGATGTTTTTAGCCTTCATCATTATAAGCTGGGCAAACTGAAGTACAGATCATTGACATTTAGTACCCCATGTCTCTCTGGCCCCTTTTACACTGCCATATAACATCCAGATTATCTTCTTTGAACTGGATTATATGGCAATGTAGACTCATATAACCAAGTTCAAAGCAGATAACCTGAATTATCTGCTTTGATAATCTTAATTATATGACAGTGTAGATTCAGTCCAGGGAATCCACACGTGGTACAATTGTGCTAAGTGACCTGCTCTTCTTTGCATGCGGTCACTAAGACTACATGGCAGAAAGTTATATGGAATGACTGAGCAAATATTTTGGGGAAATTGGTAGGAATGGGGTGAGATTTACAACATTGTGGAGAGTTGAGAAAGTGTTTGATTTTTCAAGGCTCCAGTAACATGTTTTCAGACCTGACATCTCAGCAAAGGGAATGGACAATCTCTGAGGCCAAAATTGCCACTTTAATTTCCTATAATGCCCTTACAACACCTACGATGACATGCAGAATCCACAATTATGTGGGCATTCTCTCTCCTACAATATTGTGGCATTGCATGCAGATAATTGCATAAGCGCAAGAAATACTGCATGACAAATATATTTTATAAGCAATTTCCCATTTGTGGAGTTTCAACAAGCATAGGCAGGGTTACTAAATGCATAGAAGGCTGCCTTTGAAGACAGCTCACAAACCTGAATTACTGCAGAATGTCGTTGCTCATTTCTTTGTGGAGCTGTAGAAGTTATGTTTAACTAGGTTCTTGTGGGTTTTTTCGGGCTATAGAGCCATGTTCTAGAGGCATTTCTCCTGACGTTTCGCCTGCATCTATGGCAAGCATCCTGTTTGTTATGCCTCCTAGCAATGCTCAGGAACTTTGTACTGTGTTGCATTTAAGAACTGCTGCGAAATAAATGAATGTGTGAATAAACTGCATACTCAGATGCTACTGGACTGCATCTCTCAACCTTCCTCCCCATTGGCTATGCTGGCCAGGATTAATGGGATCTGCAATCCATCAACATTAATATATGAAAACAGTCTGTCTAAATCATCTGTTATACAATGCTAAATGCTTGAAAACAATATCAATTTATGCGTAAGTAACATAAATAAAAACAGTAAAGAGACTGGAATTATCGGCCTTTTGGCTAAGATCAAGTGTAAAAACAGTAAGGAGATTGGAATTGTTGATGACTTTTCATACAATTATTACTGTGTAAGTATTATATCTGCATGACAAGAAAAATACATAAAGAAAGGAACTATCACCTCATTCTTAAGCATAAAATCTGTGGTTTTCATGGGCCACCATGAATCATTCTGAAGGCACACATGGCAAGGGATACATGTAGACCAGTGCTGAATATATTTATGTTTACAGTTCACCACAAAGAAAGAAAGCTGGATGGTGCATTGAACAAGTACATATTGTGCATCCTTCTGAAACACATATCCGAAGCCCACATTTCTTTTGCTTCTATGGCCTTGTGATTTCTTTATTAACATACAAAAGTACAGTAAATATAGCCCCACTATATTTTGTGTTGGCCAAGTCTCATCTGGAGTACTACACTGGATTCTGGTTGCTTAATTTTAAGAGGGATATAGTTCTGGTTGCCTCATTTTAAGTTGGAGCAGGTTCAGAGACGGATAACAGGAATGATTAGAGATATAATAGAGAACAAAATATATGAGGAAGGACTGAAGGAAGTGGAAATGTTTGCCCCGGCAAAGAAACAACTGAGGGGTGACACAACTGCACTCTTTAAATGCCTCAAGGGCTATCACGGACAATAGAAGGGGAAGACTTATTTTCTGCTCTCCCAAAGGGTAAGGTGAGATCTAGTGTGGTTTGAAGTTATAGGACAGGAGATTTTGAATGAATATTAGAAGAAATCTCTTGATAGTAAGAGGAGTTCATCAGTGGAAGCAGCTGCCTAAATGAGTGGTGGTAAAATAACTAGTACACAAATAACCATTTAAGATAGTTCGACATTAAATGATTTACAGAGTTAATATAAAATGCCATCTACATTTCCATATAAGGAATCACTTTCTTACAAAGTATTTTTATTTTTGGGTTGCTATGAGTTTTCCGGGCTGTATGGCCATGTTCCAGAAGCATTCCCTCCTGACGTTTCACCCACATCTATGGCAGGCATCCTCAGAGGTTGTGAGGTCTGTTGGAAACTAAGTAAGTGAGGTTTATCTATCTGTGGAATGTCCAGGGTGGTGGAAAGAACTCTCTGCTATAGGTACGTGTGAATGTTGCAATTAGCTATCTTGATTAGCATTTAATGGTCTGCAGTTTCAAGGCCTGGCTGCTTGCTGCTTGGGGTAATCCTTTGTTGTGGGTGTTAGCTGGCCCTGATTGATTCTTGTCTGGGATTCCCCTGCTTTTTTAGTCTTTTTATGTTTACCCAGGCCATTTTTCCCTTGTACTCTGACTGGCTGGATGCTTTTTAGTAGCATTGCCATTGGGAGGCATTGGGATGGTGATGGAGGTCTGAAGGAACACAGCCTTTCAGCGCTAGAATGTAGCAGGGTGTCTGCAGGAACAATGCAATAATGCTGGAGCTAGTAAAGAATAAGGTTCTGTCCTAGCCCCTCTTATAGTAACAAGGTATGAAAGAGACAAGCTGCCTCCAGAACTCATGACTGCTGAAGCAAGAAGAGCTAGAAGAGAGAAAGGGAGAAACAGACATGCCTGAATTACCTGCTGTCCAGCCTGTTACAAAGCATAGACCTGTACACATCTGGTCATGAAAATAAACATCATCAGAAAAATGGAGGTTAATGAAGAAATGGTTATCCTTGGATGAATTGTGGAAGACTCCTTTAAGTGGGCTCAAGAAGCTTCACATTGTTTTTGTTTACTTCTGCAAGGATTGCACATTTGCCGGAATATATTAGATTGCTTCTTTTTTGTGGCGTATAAAAACATTCCCTATTTTTTTTCCATGTTATTTCTACCTCTGGTTTGACATTTTCAGTTAAAGTAATGCCTAAAACACATCAACTTTATTAATGGATGTTTTAAATCTTTCTATTAGTACTCTCTGTTTATGGTTTGACAGCTGTCAGCCGTAGGAACTTGCTTTCAAGTGTACACCAAAGCTATTGCTCCAGATTAGCTCAGAGTTGACTACATTGAACACAACATTTCTCCAAGTTTTTAAAGAAAACATATAAAACTTTTGGTAGCGAAGAAAATAGCTTGTGAAATTTCCATTAAGTGATGCCAACGAAGCCATGCAAAAACCTTCTTTGGCACCTTAAAAACAAGGTTATTGCTTTGAGATAATTGTCTTTAAGTATCCTTCTTCCTCAGTGTGATATCTCCTAGAACCATCCCGTAAATACAGCAAGTGTCTTTTTCTCCATTATCTATCCATTAACTGTCCATTATCACCCAAAGGCCCCAGACACCAACAATGGAATCCATTTTCTAGATTGGCATTGAATATGCAATTTTATTTCATTAACTGAAGTACTGAAAGAAAGATAGTTACAATGAGGATGTGACTCCAATTTGGCATTTGAAACATGGGCCCTGCCAGAGCCCAAGGCATCTCCAGCGATTGGCTTTTGAATTTATTGCAAGGTTTTGATTTTATTGCAAATGAGCCAATCAACAATGTGGATTGGATACCTCAAAATATTTCACCTTACATTTCTTTGGAGTGAATCATTGGATAAAAAGGACTGACAAAGAACAAATATTCTGAACTTAATCTGAGGTGCCTCCTTCCAATCATAATTTGGCAAAGATATCTGGATGGAAATAATTTCCAGTCTGTGTTTATAAGAAACTTTTTAAGCGTTTCAGAACAATTCAAATGGTTCTTGACTTTTCCAAGGCAGACTACTTTTTGGCATTGACAAAAGTATATAATAGACCTCATCACTGCAATACAGAATTATTTATTCTTACCAGTTGACTCCTCAATAGCAACTCCTTTTGATATTTGACTGGTGTACGAAAAAGATGTGGCGCACTTTTTATTTTTGTGTCCTTTTCATTCTCTTTCCAGGTAAGAGTCACATTGAATTTTGCCTAAGTAACTACTATGGTACATTAAAGTTACTTTTTTGCAAGAGAAAGTAACTTTTCACTTAAGATTGTATGCAACAGGGTGGATGAAGGTCTGAGGACTGGTTGATTGTTTGATTCACAGATTGATTGAGTTTATGGATCACTTTTCTCCCAAATGGGACTCAATGTGTTAAAATGGGTAATGGCCAGAGGAATTGCCTGAAACTAGTGGGAAAATTGGGTTTGCCTCAAGTGACAATTATGAGAAGAAGAATCTTTTCATTCTCTTCCTTTCCAGGGGCTCTCTGCAAATGGAACTGTTCACACCACAGTTTGGTCGAGTATCTGAATATTTCCAATGACAACAAGCTCCTGTTATATACCAGACCGAAGAAGAACTGGAGGGAACCATTGTATGTCCAGCTGGATTTTACTCTTGTTTCTATCCTGGCAGTGGTAAGTCCCCAAAATTTCTGGTTTATTGTGTACCAAATAGAGGTGGAAAGTAAGAGTCTTGCACAATCCGGAAAAAAAATTAACATTTGTGTGTTTCATTAATTTCAGTGAGAAGGTTAAACATATTAACCCTAGCTGTAGACATCTGGTGTTTGCTCTGCCTCCTTCTGTCTTCCTATTATTATTTCTATTATTGTCATCATTATTATTATTCTATAGGTAGAAAAGTTGCAGGTGATAACAACTTATTTCTGGCTGTTTGTGGTAAGTCATTTTTATCATTACCATCTCTAGTAAACCTGTTAATTTAATCTGATCAGACTGCAATAGGTCTTTAAAAATCCACTAGATTTTT